AATGTATTTTAATTTTAAACTTTTTTTTTATACAGATGCCTGGGTTTAATTTAATATTGGACTTAATGGCTTTTGTAGAATGAAATCTCTGAGGATCTATTGGTCATACATAGATAAAGTATTGCAACAAATTTTATTGTGATTCCCCCCCGAGATAAAAAATATTCCTAGAGAGAAATATAATCTCGGTCAACAGAAACAGATAATAATTATCCAGTTCTTCTTATTCCTAATTACCAGAGGCGTTATCTGCCAAAATCCTACCACATTTAACAGCATATCTTTTTCTACAAAAACTATTTTCTAGCATGGGCCTCCTAAGGATTTTTGGATAATGGCACTTTGTTTACTTCAGCAGAACTGAACGTTACTGATTGAGAAAGGTACAGGGAAGTTATGTTACAGTGGTGGGAAAGGGACTGAAGCCAAGATGCCAGGTCAGAACCAATAACATTGCAGATACTACTTTGGATTTTATCAAGAATTTTTAAATATATAACAGGAGCACCAAACCAGATGTGGCAGCAATATTCAAACAATGATGAATTAAATTATATAATTCCTTAGTAAAGCAACTTTGAAAAAAATTGTCTAACATGGCCAAGAGGAAGATAGCCTGGAACAGAATTCATCAGTAGCAACAAAATAATTTAGTTTTGCAAAGTGTGACGACTATTTCGAGAGGGGATTCAGCACTACAGAAATTAAAATGAATGTCATGAATATTGGAGAAAGTAAGTGTTGAATGGTGGGGGTAGATGACTTTTTTTTTTTTTTTTTTTTTTGTTGACTGGTTTGCACATTTCTTTTAATTATCTGTTATAAGATTTGTTTTAAGAAAAAGGCCAAAATAATTATCACTAACATCTATGGCAATACAAACTGGCCAGAAAGTGGCTAAAACTAAACTGTAGCTTCAAGGTTACCCAATGAAAATACATGAAAGAACACCTAACTGTGACATGGCACTATAAATACCCCATATTATGTGACTGTTTATCAGAGTAGCCTCTTTAAGTGCTATCAAAAAGTTCTGGCTCCTTACTACCAGTTGGAAGTAGCAACCAGAAAAATGCCAATCTGGTACCCTCTTAATGAAAAGTCAGTGTCACTGATTAGTAAAACCACCAAAAAGTTAAAACGGTTAAATCATTATGGCCATGGAAGAAAGAACAGGTAAGCCATATCCTAAACAGGAAACAAGAGATAAACCTCTACTCCTGTTCAAAAGAACATGGAAGGTGTCCTGGCTGGGTAATAGGTGAACCTATCTACTCCAATTAAACTGTTTATAGCACAGGAGGATGGGCATTTTTATCAAGGAAATTTACCAAATAAAGTTCTTCTGGGTCAAAAGGAATTAATAAATTCTGTAACTTATAATTTTTTTTTTTTTTAAATCTGTATCACCTCAAGCAAAGCAGTAAAGCCACTAAGACACAAGGGGTTACATGGTGCCGAAGAATTAGGAACAGCAACATTAATAATGAATGAAAAGAGTAATCAGGAGGACAACAAATAGCTGTTGATATTGCTTTTAAATTTTTGCAAATTAAAGTTTGCTGGAAAAAATGGAGCCAAAAGGGAGTTCTGCAAGCAAGAAGTGCAAGAAAAAAACAACTGTTAGGATAGAATTTATGGCTACATCTAGCCATCTCAAGTGTAAATTTATTGATCTTGACGCCAGTCTAGTACGGGACTTAAATTCAAAAAGTGTAGGTACCATAGCAAAGAGATTATCTGAACAATTACCATGAAAGTATTGATAGAAAAGGCACAGGGGCAACATTATGGCAGTGGGAAAGTGACTGAAGCTGAGCTGCCAGATCAGGACCAATATTATTGCTGATTCTTTGGATCGTATCAAGAATCTCAAGGTAAATAGCAGGAGCACAAGACTATATGTGGCAGCAATATTCTAAGCATGGACAAATGGTAGACCTATATATGCAAGACAGCAGCTGACCTAGCAATGGATTCAATATAGTCTTTCCACTTCATGTCAACTGAGAACATTAGACTGAGAAGACGCAAGTCACTTGCCTGGAGGTTAACATCAGCCATGCTGATAGAAGGTAGAGAGGAGTCTTTCAGATGATTAATGGAGAGAAGTTTAGTTTTGGAGGCATCAAAATTAACAAGCCATTTTTTTGCCCCAGTTAATGATTGACATAGTTGTTTTAGACATCGGATACCATTTTGACCTATCACAGTAGTAGTAAATCAGTTGAAATTAAAGCAATATTAACATAAAATTAGATCGATACAGTTAACAATTAATATAAAGTTTAAGTATACACACATACATATATATATATATATATATATATATATATATATATATATATATATATATATATATATATGAAAAAAAATTAATTTGGAAAAAAAAACAAAAATCCTTAAATGCAATTATGTTGTTTAAAATGAATGAAATGTCGACGTCTGACGTTTTGGTTTAATAAACCTTTTTTCAAGACAATATTCATTAAAATACAATTCAGTTCAATTTGACAAATACGATGGACATAAAAAACAAGTCTTATCAAAACAGATAACTGAAAATTTTTAAAATGATCATTTTAAAAATATTTTCAGTTATCTATTTTGATAAGACTATTTTGGATAAAAATTTTTTGTGTCCATCGTCTTTGTCAAATTGAACTGAATTGTATTTTTAATGAATATTGTCTTGAAAAAGGCTTATTAAACCAAAACGTCAGACGTCGACATTTCATTCATTTTAAACAACATAATTGCATTTAAGGATTTTTGTTTGTTTTTTCCAAATTTTTCTTCATTCTGTCGGATCTATATCCATTTACATTTGCTTACATATATAAATATCTAAGTGTTGACTTCAATGTTCACTTTTATATTTACCCACGTGCTCTCTGATATTGAGCACTTTATTCCATAAATATAGCACACCTTAAGACTATATTTCTTTTATATATATATATATATATATATATATATATATTTTACACTTGACATTGCAATAAAAACTTCTTTGTCAAATGAACCACTTATTCTTACCATTATCATAATTTCTGTTTTAAAATGATGAATAAAAAAAATTACAAGGATTGTATGTTATTGTCATGGATTTTAACCATTCAGTGCAACTCCCATCTCAAGGGTTGGTGGCTTGGAAGCAACCAGAGTTACTCTGGCCCAGGCCTTTGCTTTGAGGGGTGATACAGGCCACAGCATATAAACACATATAGTTTACACTGGATGTCAAGATAAACAGTATATTGTCAAATCTACCACTTATTATTGTTATTATAATTTCTGTTTAATTATAAATTATAGAAACAATCAATAAAATAAAAGAATAAAATTATCATCAAATATATATGAGTCCATTTTTTAATTATTGTTGTAGATAAAATGTTTTAAACAGCATTTCTCGGTCAAAATTGTGATCCGAAGAAAAAAAAAAAGTGGGTTGATATTAGCTCAGATTTAATTTCTATAATGATATAGTTAAATTTAAAAAAAATATTAAGTATTCAGACACTTAGTCAATCACATTTTCTCTCAATAATGTAGATTTTGTGAAATAAAATCATTTTCCTGATATTGCTGGATAATTGATGAAATGTGTCAAAGTAAAAACAAAATTTCCCAGATGGTCTTATATAGTTAACATTCTGTCAGATTTACATCTCTCGTGTGTATGTGTGTGTGTGTATATATATATATATATATATATATATATATATATATACACACACACATGCTGCCAAACCAAAATGTGGTCAAAATCAAAAACTTCCTAAAGACTTGGGCAAAAAACATTTGATGCATTGTCTCAAAAAAAAAAAAAAAAAACCTCATAAGGGAAATTCTCAAATAGAACTCCAAAACTTTTTAAAGACTTTTGTCTTTGTAAGAGACATCTTATCAAGGAAAGTAAAATAGATGGGAATATTGAGAAATGTCTCGGGGGTGGAGTGGAGTTGAAACAACAGAAATGTGGTTCTACAGAAGGATACTAAGAATAACATAGACCGAACTTGTGAGCAATGAAGTTTTAGAGAATATGGAAACAAAAAGGACACTTATACTTAACATCAGAAGAGACAGTTGAAATTTCTAGAGCACATACTGAGGAAAGAGGACTTGGAAAATTGGAAACTCACAGGACAGATTGAAGGCAAGAGATGGAAGAAAACAATGCATAACCTACCTAGTCAGCTTGAGTAAATGGATAGCAGAGCAAAGTTTAGGAGATTAAAAGAAAACATTTAGTAAGAACAACAAAGGACAGGAAATTGTGGAGAGCCATGATTGCTTATATTCTGAAGGAACTTGGCATATAGAAGACTTATATGGTCAAAGTTGGGTCTTTGCATATCAATCAAATAAGACAGTCATGTAGACAGTGAAACAATATAAAATAAACTGAAACTACTAGTGAAATTTTAATACAAAACAGAACCTAAATACTTTTGCATTCCTTTTAGAACATGAAAGGAAGCCAAGGATTTTTCAGATGAATCTAGAACATTTTGTTATTAAAAGTTATTGGATGCCGATATAAGACAACTACTAACAATACAACAGAACAGATGCTGTATATAAATATGGGATTACCTTTTATTACATTTGCTGTGCATAAGCAAACTCTGACAGTTTTTTTGCCATTTCTTTTCTAAAGGTAAAAGAAAAAAAATTTTGTTTTTGCTCAGTGACAGGGAAAACTTGTCAGCATGAAGTGAGCTCAAGAAATAAAGAATATATTTCAAGCCTCATTTCAAAGATTTTCAAAACAGTTGTTTGAAATGTGCTTGAATATAAATTCTTACTCTTCATAATGTTGGTTTAAAAAAGACAAGACTAAAATAGGTCCTAAAAGACTTGTCAAAGAAACCTGATAGTGGAATTTGAATTACGTATTATTATTGTATTTTTTGTATTTTTATGTTAAACAGGCAGTGATAAATATATCTCTTACAAAATAAATTTATGTATTAAATTTCTATTTGTAGATGTGATTGTTGGTTCACCTGATCGTCACATTCCTTTACTGGAAGAAGTTTTCCAAACTTTCCCAAATATGCCTATTAACATTGACATTAAAGTTAATGATGGCAATCTTATAGAAAAGGTAAGGCTTGCAAATTATACCCCACCTCTTCTTCTTTCTTTTTTTTTTTTTTTTTTTTTTTTTTTTTATTATAAAAATTAACATATATAAAATTTATTTTTAAATGTGGAATGCTGAACAATAGTCTTACAATAACGGATATATGGTTAATTTGCAGTTAATACCCATGCTCAGTTTGCATTAAAAATTTTCAGAATACTTGCATTTATGTGTAATTGTACATGCTCCATTCAAATCTGTTTTGAGGAATTTGATAAAATCTACCATTTTGGAGTTATTGACAGTGAAAGTTCGGATTCATTTGCATCGTTGGTGGCAGCCATTACTGTCATTGTCTGCATACATTCACTGTGGAAAGCTAAATGTGGAAGACTACAGAAAGCTAAGCGCGGAACTGATCTTTCTTGTCTAAATTTGTCTCAATTACTGCGCACAAGAACTATTTATGTAGACACACTCAGTTTGTGCAATGATACCTGCACTGATAGCTATTCTGCAGTGAATGTATGCAAACAACACCAGTAATGGCTGCCCACGACGCAAATGAATCTGAACTTTCACTGTCAATAACTCCAAAACGGTAGATTTCATCAAATTTATCAAGCCATATTCAAATGGAGCATGTACAATTAAACATAAATGTAAGTATTCTAAAAAAATTTATTGGATTGATAAGTGAAAACAAAAAAATTTGCAAATTAACTGAATATATTTATTTACTGTGTATATTTATTTGTACTAAACCAAGATACGACTGGATATTGTACCTTATCTTACTTATTATAAAACGCAGATTGTGTGTGTGTGTGTGTCTGTAACGTTTATATATTGGATCAGATTTCCTACATTTTTCAACAGATTTGAACAAAACTTCACAGGACTACATAAAATTACCTTGTGGTTCTAACAGCGCCAAAAATGGGAAAAATATAATTGTTTTTGCACAAAATCAATTTGAAAGCACGATTAAGAGACATTGTGTAAATGGAAGGGGGACAACTCACATTGGGTTGTTTGTGTGTGTGGGTTCCTTTAAATATGGGAGCGGATTTCCTATATTTTTCAGCCGATAAAACAAAACTTCACTTTTTTTTTTTTGGGGTAGTGTTTCTTATTCTCTTGCACACTTTTTTTTTTATTTTTTAACATTCAGAATGCTTTAAAAATTCCATTTACAAGACAATTATTTATAATAAAATTCTATTCAATTGGGAGACTCATAACGATTGAAAACAATGTTTTTGTTTGAGTTTGGGTTTGACCAATTCGTAAAAAAAAAAAAAAAAAAAACTAATTAAGACATGCATGTCCGTCAACCTTAAACAATAATCTAACGATCTCTACTGATTGTACGAATACAAACATTGAATAAATTCTTTATCTTTAGGGAAAGATAATGAAATCTAAACATACACAAGTCCTAACTAAAAAATAATAACCGGAATGGGAAACTACTTTAAATACACATGGTGTCCAATTTTTTACTGTATTCAATAAGTAAAAATCATAAATTGTAAAAAATTATTATTATTACAAAAGGCTACTAAATGAATAAGATTTGTTAGATCATAATTAATAAACCCAAATAAAGTTAATATTTTTTGTATTAGAAACAACGAGTGGAAAATATATTTAAATCAGAATTCTAATTATGAATCACCACAAGCAAAATATGCAATTTTTTTTACTGTATTCAATAAGTAAAAATCATAAATTGTAAAACTAAAAGATTACAGAAAGGCTACCTACATTTTTCAACCGATTTCAACAAAAAAACTTTTTTTTTTTTTTTGGCATGTAGTGTTTCTTATTGTCTTGCACACTTTTTTTTTATTTTTACATTCAGAATGCTTTAAAAATTCCATTTACAAGACAATTGTTTATAAAATTATTCTATTCAATCGGGGAGACTCATAACGATTGAAAACAATGTTTTTGTTTGGGTTTGACCAATTCATAAAAAAAAAAAAACTAATTAAGACATGCATGTCCGTCAACCTTAAACAATAATCTTTGTCAATTTTATTTTTCAGTCTTTATGATGGTGGATACTTGATCTATCTCTTACTGTTATATCCCCGGGCAACGCCAGGCTCTACTGCTAGTATAATATAAGTCTGGAGCCTAATGATTATAAATAAAATAATTTCTTTCTTTCTTTCTTTTCTCTTTTTTTTTTTTTTTAACAATTTTTGTCAACATACATTAACAAGAAAGGAGATTAATTTGACAGTGAATTTTAATTATATACATTGGATATTATACAGTGAAAATTTCAAACCAAAATCCAGCTAATGATCATGTGCATATTATTCTGCTTTAGGTTATGGTTTAGGTATGTCCTTCCACTTGTGCTGTTAGGCGTTGCAGGGAGACACAGTCACCTATCAGTGTCAAGGCGAGTGGCCTGAAAGAAGAGATATCAATTATCAAATTTATACTTTTAGAAACTTTTGCAACAAATGCCAAAAATTTGTGCTGCAGTAATCAAGGCTAAAGGTAGATATTTTGACAAGAGGAAAAGTTTATCATAAGATGCTTTTTTTTTTCTTTTTGTCATAATAAAATTTCTAATAAAAAATCATCTCACTTTTTTTTCTTTTTTTTTTTTTTAACCATGTGTAATAAAGTACAAAACAACTACTTTTTGGACCAATTTAAAAAATTACCAGTGGTTGCCTATGTCATTTATTTTATAATATATCATTTTTTATTTTAGTCTGGTAAACATGTAAATATCAGTTAATTCATATTTCTTGCTCCTCATCTGTTTGCAGTGTTTGTCTCCGTTTAACATTCTTTCATGAAATTTTCTTCATGTCTTCATTACCAGGTTTCAGCCCTTATCAAAAAGTACAACAGAGAAGAAATCACAGTTTGGGGAAATAAACAACAAGCCATTAGTACCAAGTGTTACAAATGTGTAAGTCACTTTGTTTAGTTATCAATAATAATTTTTATACTAAAGCTAATTAGTTTTTATTATGAAAGGCTTGTTAGGTACAAGAACACCAGATATTGTAAGCAACCTCCAATCTGAAATGTCTCAGTTTTAAATAAAACACAATGGATTGATAAGCCATAAAAAAAAAAATCAATGGAATTAGAAGATACTAATACAATTTGAGACTTACAAATGACAATTTATTTAACTAACTTTGAAATAAAATAAAATAAAGATAAAAAAAGACTAAAAACTGAAAATGGCATTTCCTTGTCATGGTGGCAAGTTTTGGTACCCACCACCCGATGTAGACATTGGTCATGTAAGTTGATATGTGTAATGTTTGATAAGGCAGATGGTTACATGTAGTTGGCAGGGATAAGCTGTTAAAAATTAAATTGATTTCCTTTCCTTATAATGAAATTTACTTTTTATTTTTTTTTACTTTTTTTTTGTTCTTGTATTTATTTTTTGTTCTTGTCTTTCTTTCTTTTTTTTGTTCTTGTCTTTCTTTCTTCTTGTTCTTGTCTTTCTTTTTTTTTTTCTTGTTTGTTTTTTTTGTTCTTTCTTTTTTTTTTTTTTTTTTCTTGTTTTTTTCTTTTTTTTTTTTTTGTTCTTCAATCAATTTTTTTTTTTTTGTTCTTTAAATTTCTTTTTTTTTTTTTTTTGTTCTTGTCTTTCTTTCTTTTTTTTTTTTTTGTCTTTCTTTTTTTTTTTTTTTTTTTTTTTTTTTTTTTGTCGCTTTCTTTTTTTTTTTAGTTGTCGTCTTTTAAAAATTTTTTTTTTCGTCTTTTTTTTTTTTTTTTTTTTGTCTTTTTTTTTTTTTTGTTGTCTTTCTTTTGTTTTTGTATGAAAATCTTTTTTTTTTTTTTTGTTTTTTTTTTTTTTTGTTTTTTTTCTTTTTTTTGTTCTTGTTTTTTTTTTGTTCTTGTCTTTCTTTTTTTTTTTGTTCTTGTCTTTCTTTTTTTTTTTTGTTCTTGTCTTTCTTTTTTTTTTGTTTGTGCTTGTCTTTCTTTCTTTTTTTTTTTTGTCTTTCTTTCTTTTTTTGTTCTTGTCTTTTTTTTTTTTTTTTGTCTTGTCTTTCTTTTTTTTTTGTTCTTGTCTTTTTTTTTTTTTTTTTTGTTCTTGTCTTTCTTTTTTTTTTCAATATTCTTTTTTTTTTTTTTTTTTTTTTTTTTTTTTTTTTTTTCTTTTTTTTTTTTTTTTTCTTGTCTTTCTTTTTTTTTTTTTCTTGTTGTCTTTTTTTTTTTGTTCTTGTCTTTCTTTTTTTTTTTTTTTTTTCTTGTCTTTCTTTTTTTTTTTTTTTTTTTTTTTTTCCAATCTTTTTTTTTTTTTTTTTTTTTCTTTTTTTTTTTTTTTTTTTTTTTTTTTTTTTCTTTTTTTTTTTTTTTTTTTTTGTTAGACGATTTCCCTAATCGAGGAAAAAATTATTTATTTTACAGAATTTGTTTACATCTAGCCAACTCTACTGTAAATTTGTGAGACTTTGTTGCCAGTCTGGTACAAGTTACTCTTCTGGAGGTTAGTATCAGTTTTGCTGATGGAAGGCAGAAAGGGGTCTCTCATATGATTAATAGAGAGCAGTTTAGTTTTGGTGGCGTTAAAATTAACACGCCATTCTTTGCTCCAGTTAAGACTGAAGGTCATTTTTGACATCAGCTACTAATTTGATCTTATTGGACCAACCAGACTTAGTATTGAGACAGGAGTAAATGGTTGTCATCAGAATAGTTACAAAGTTGAGAGCTAATGCCATTGGGGAAGGTCATTAATGAAAATTAAAAACAAAGTAGGACCCAGGATAGAGCCTTGGGGGTCACCTGCATTAGTGCAAAAGGATCTAGAAGAGTGGCCATTCAGGATAACTTTCATTTCACAATTTGATAAGAAAGACCGGATCAGTTCAAAAGTTTGCCCAGAGACACCGTAACTTTTCAATTTGTGAAGACCTGCATTCCAAACCCTGTCGAAAACTTAAGATATCCAAAACAGGCTTGAATTTATATTTATCTAGTGTTTTTATTTTTTTGCATTTTTTTCTTTCTCATTTCAAAAGTTGTGATAAATTTTGAACTTTTCTTTTTACCCATTCCATACTTTTTCATTGTTATTAACCTTAGAAAGCTAACAAAATATGCCATCAAACATGTCTTACCAGCTGCATTAGATTAAAGGTATATCTGAACTTAAAATTTCTCCTTCTCCTAGACTGGCTGCTACTCAAGACAAGAGTGATCTCTTTACCCTGCTATTTAGCTGGAGGGGGATAGATTCACACCTTTTTCAATATCATCAGTAAATATATCTGTTAAAAATATGGATAGTTTGTTTTAAACCATCTGAATACTTAGTCATAAAATAATGTAAGTTAATCATAATGTATCTTTTGATCTGATATTATTTCTTATTATAAATATTTTTTTTTTTTCGTGGGAACACATGTTTGAGTTGACATCAACTCATTGTTTCTTTAACAGTGAAACCGGCCTAAATGAAAAAAGTCCAAATTTAAGATAAATGTCTTTCTCTTATGAAGAGTAAAACTTATTTTGGTAATATGGTGATTTTCTAAACATAGCTTAGATATGGCACAAGGCCTAAAGTATGAGGAATCCAGTCCTAATTGTTCTAGTGAGACATGCTTGCTAATTTATTACACCACGTCGAGGTGCTTTTAAAATCTAAATTTTGGCTTAGATGTGGCACAAGGCCAAAAGTATGGCGCAATTGTGAAGATTGAACTCACTACTTGGTCTAACTGATCTGCCAAGACATGTATGCTAACCATTACACCATGTAGAAGTTCCCATAACAATTTTCCAAGTGTTTAGCTTAGATGTGGCAAAGTTTTAAATATGGAGCACCCAGTGAGGATCGAAATCAATTCAGTCTTAATTGTTATAGTGAAACAAGCTTTTTAAACATTATACCATGTCGAGATGCCCATGAGTTTCTAAACATAAAAATTAGATGTTTTATTATTTGTAACGAAAATGTGGGGTTTTTTGAGGATCGAACTCACTATTCAGTCGTAAATTTTCTCTAGCACAAAAATATTGCTAATCATTACCATCATTTTGGTAGTATGACTGCTAACACAAAATTATTATCAAGTTTTTGTAAACACAGATTTTTTTCAATTTTACAAATAACAATGTAAATATTAATATCAAAAGAAATGTGATACCTAAGGCTTGTTTTAATTTCAAGCTAATAGGTTAAATTTAATATTTCCGAAATGTTTGCTGTATTTCAAAACCAATTTAAATTGAATGAATAGTTTTTGTTTGTTTTTTTTTTTTTGTCACTAAAAATTGCTGATTTGAGCCATTTATAATTCTCTTTATCAAAAAATCTTTCAAAAATATACTTTTTAAAAACTTTATAAAAACTTTATTTGAGAAATATTAACTAAAGTTTAATTTGATTGAAACAAATATTACTTTTAGTTTAAAATATGACAGAAATGTAAAAAAGTTTTACCATGATTTTTCTAAAAAAAAAAAAATTTCTAAATGATTTAATTTATTTCTGAATAAGTCTTGGAAGTTTCATTAAAATTACAATTATTTTGATTTTTGCAAGAATTTCCAAATCAATGTTTTTCACTGCAAAAAAAAAAAAAAAAAACACTAAAATTTCTTATACTAACTTATGGTCATTGCTGATGCAAGAAAAACAATTTTTAACCAAAACTTTGAATGTTCTAAAATGGATCAAAAATATAATTTAATAGTCAAAGAATCCTTTGGTCTTTCTTCTTAATAATAACAAAGATTTTAATGATAAGCTTTGTTTTTATTAAATTTGGGACATTTTTTTTTTATCATGGCATACACAATTTTTAAGAAATCTTTAGAGCTACTATGTAAATGTTTGTATTTGTATAATATATATATTTTGAGACATTTTAATATTTTGATGTATTTATCTTTTCAGAATCCTAACATTCCACTGATTTTCTCTCTGAGGCGAGTCTTAATCCTTCTTGCCTTATACTACAGCGGCCTACTTCCCTTTGTACCATTAAGGGAAACCTTTTTGGAGATAGTCATGCCAAGTATTATCTTAGAGTATGTATTACTGTTGATTTAATTTTGCCTAAAATCTTTAGAGTTTGTGTGCATATACACCAACATGCCAAAAGTCATGGGTTAGCAATATCTAATGGTAGATTGTGATTACTGGTCAGGGCACTCATGGTAAGGTAACATTCATTCACATACTCTGTTTGAACTGATAATTCAAGTTACCTTATCCAGGGCAGCCTGGCCATTGTTCAAGCTTCTGGTCACAATCATTAATGATGCACTGTCATTAATGATCATAACTAGAGGCTGGAATTGTTTGTATAACAGACAAATGACATTGGCTTAATGCAAGTAGAGGTTCATCCCTTGTTTCCTGTTTAGGATTGGGTTCTCAGTCTCTTCTAAATTGTATTTCAACTCTATATTCCTAACATCTTCACTTAAACTTTGAAATTTTATTTGCTAATTAAATCTTGACCTCTTCAAATCTGTAATTAGTTGTCTAACTTTCCTATTTTTTTATTTACGTCTCTTGACTCCTTGAAGAACATAGGGCTGCAACAAGACCTCTCCAATGGACACGGTTCTGGGTGATCCTCTTCAACTCGGCTCATATCGTGCTGCATGCCTTCACCCCCAGCATCAACACTTCTGTGCCAAGTCTGTTTTGGTCAACCCATTTTTCGCTTCCCATGTGGATTCCAGTCAAGGTGACCTGGTGACACTAGAAGCAGGCTTGCGGAATGTGTGGCCGATCCATTTCTTGATGTCAATTTCCTATTTCCTATTATCTTGCTCTTTCTTATGCTAATACAAATCTACACACTAACCCTCTACCTTGAGTGGCCCTGCTAACACTGGACACAATACTTCACTTTTTCTTCTGACATCATTAGTTGAACCCTAAATGAGTGGTAAGGTATGGAATGGTTCAGTCACAGTTGTTGTTGCTTCAGGCTGCTGGCTAGGCTCAGGTGTGGTTCAGAATACTTGAGGCCTAAGAACTTGGTTGTTAACAAGCACTGAACAGCTTGGTGGTACTTCCATAATAATATAGAGGATGTTGCACTGCTTTGATTATTTGCACTCATTCATGCATTCTATGTACTGCAACAACGTTGGGTTATTCCAACATGATAATGCATCATGTCATCACACTCAAGAATTGATTTGAGGTGCATTCTGGAGGTTTTTGATGAATGGTATGGTCACTGTTTACTCAGCATAATGTCAATGAAGCCGTTATAGGCTGTGATAGAGAGGTCTATTCACACACACACACACACACATCACATACTGTCTGCAAATATCAGATGTGGACAACTACAGAGATAACTTGGCTCAACATCTTTGCAGAAGTTTTCTGACAACTTGTGGATAATGTAGAGTTGCTGCACTTTACCCCAGGGCTAGAAGGAGTCCTACAAAATTCAAAGCCCCTAGCCCATGACTTTTAGCATGTGTGTGTGTGTGTGTGTGCGCGCGCACGTTTTTTTTTTTTTTATTTTGCCTTCCTAATAATTTCATCAAAATCCTCTGAAAATAGAAATTCAAACCTGTGCACATGGAGGGATTCTTTGTTTTGCCAGTGTGGAATTTTTACTTTTTTTTCAAGTTAAAATTGAGATTCCTTCTTGGTGACAGTAAATATAGTATATATCAGGGGTGACCAAATTTGTAAGAGGCACACTTTGGCTCACAAAGTGGTTTCTCAGATGGAAAAATAAAAAATAAATGTAGATTCAATTCCTGTTGGAGGCACAATTTTTCTTTAGTAGGTCTTTTCAGTTTATCCCAGTTATTAATTTCACTGTTTAATTAAATTTAAAAAAAGTTAATCAACACAAACACATGTACCCATTAAAAACTAAAGTCTTTAGTAGGAGTGGACAAACTTGCTTAATGTAAGAACCACATAAGAGTTCAGATGTTTGTGAACCGCAAGACATGAACAAAATATACACATACGTTTTTGTTACCTACACATTAACATTAAACTTATGTTTTAATCTAATGGGGTCTCAATTTATACCCAGTAAATAATTATAAAACTTCTTACCTTTTATATTAACTGTGATGAAAAAAGGAGCTCGGCCAACATATTTCCATGAGCCGCAGTATATTTCCATGAGCCGCAGTATATTAAGGGTCAAAGTGCTGCATGTCATTCGCAAGCCACAGTTTGGCCACCCATGGTATATATTTTTTAAACAAAATAAATGTAATTCAGAAAAATTTACTTGGAAGTAAATTTTTGTCAGATTAACTTGGTTTTAAATCTAATAGTTATTTTTTTCAATTTCCTGTTAATAAATTTAATCTTTGCTAAATTAACTTTCTTTTTTTTATACTTTGTATTTAAACTTCCACACTACAACAGTGGGTGGTGGAAGTTATCTATGACAATGTCTTTTCCCACTATATATTTATATGGCCTGTATAACAATTGAAAGAAAATGCACAAAGAATTAATGTATATATGTATGTTTTTATTTTTCTATCACTACACAGGGACTAAGACACAGGATATTGTAAATTAGATTATTGAGGTGATACTTTCTCAATAAGATTGATAAATAGAAAAGAATTTGGATTGAAAGAGCATTTACTATTATATGCTAACATGATGATTGATTTTAAAAAAAAATTAGAATGAATAAAATTTGCATGAAATCTTTTAGGAAAATCTGACATGTTTCGTCCTTTAGGATTTCATCAGACTGAAATGATGTTTACATTGGTGTGATTAAGCATGAAGGAGAGTGAATGCTGAAAATTTTAAATCAAATATTAACTTCTTTTTTTTTTTCTTTTTTTTTTCTTTTTCTTTTTTCTTTTTTTTCTTTTCTTTTTTTTTTCTTTTTCTTTTCTTTTTTTTTCTTTTCTTTTTTTTTTTCTTTTTTTTTCTTTTTTTTTTTTTTTTTTTTCTTTTTTTTTTTTTTTTCTTTTTTTTTTTTTCTTTTTTCTTTTCTTTTTTTTTTTCTTTTTTTTCTTTTTCTTTTTTTTTTTTTTTTTTTTTTCTTTTTCTTTTTTTTTTCTTTTTGAAGAAATTTTTTTTTTTTTTTTCTTTTTTTTTTTTTTCTTTTTTATTTTTTCCTTTCTTTTTCTTTTTTCTTTTTCTTTTTTCGTTCCTTTCTTTTTTCGTTCCTTTCTTTTTTCGTTCCTTTCTTTTTTCGTTCCTTTTCTTTTTCTTTTACTTTCTTTTTTTTTCCTTTTTTTGAATTTCTTTTTTTTTAAATTCTTTTTTTTTTCCTTTTGAAGACATTTTCCTTTCTTTTCTCTTTTTTTACAGAATAGGGACACCAACTCAAAACTTTTTTAAATAAGCATTTATTTTTCTTTCTTTTTTTTCCTTTCTTTTTTTTTCCTTTCTTTTCTTTCCTTTCTTTTTCTTTCCTTTTTTTTTTTTCCTTTCTTTTTTCTTTCCTTTCTTTTCTTTTCAGATTTTTCCTTTCTTTTTTTCTTTTTTCTTTCTTTTTTTTTTTCTTTTCTTTCCTTTCTTTTTTTTTCCTAATCTTTTTTTTTTCTTTCTTTTTTCTTTTTATTTTTTTTTTCTTTCCTTTCTTTTTCTTTCCTTTCTTTTTTTTCTTTCTTTCTTTTTTTCTTTAATTCCTTTTATCAATTTTTATTTCTTTTTTCTTTTTTTTCTTTTTTTTATTTCTTTCTTTTTTTTTAAATAAAGGAAAAATATAATCCTTTTATTTTCTTTTGGCATTGTTTTTTCTTTTTTTTTTTATTTATCCAGCTTTTTTGAATTTTATTGCCCTTTTCCTTTCTTTTCTTTCCTTTCTTTTTTCTTTCCTTTCTTTTTCTTTCAAATTTTTTTTTCTTTCCTTTCTTTTTTTCTTTCTTTTTTCTTTTTTTTTTTTTTTTTCCTTTCTTTTCTTTTTTTTTTTTTTCCTTTTGTTCTCAATTTTAGTTTTTCTTTTTTTTTCTTTCCTTTCTTTTATATTTTTTTTTTTTCACTTTTTTTTATTTTCTTAGTCTTAGAGAAGATTTCAAATCTTGGGAATACCAATTGCTTTGTTTTGAACATCCCTTTTTTATCTTTTTCAAATATAGTCTAGATGATTTCATTTACTTTTTTTTTTAAATCCATCAAAATTTGTTAAATATCTCACATTTTCTGTCACTAATAAGAAAATGTTGACCATATTATCAATGGATTATTGCTTAAGTTTAGTGATTGTATAGGAACCAATGTCAAAGAAATCAGTATTTTTTGGGGAATACTAAGTGCTGTAAACTTGGACATATGCAGGTTTGCAGTGGGTAATGGCTCAAAAATGTTAATTGGAAGAATAGTTCCTGTTCCCATTGAGTTTGTTAGGTTCAATTATGCAAAATGTGTTGAGAAAATCTATGAATCCAATTTATTCTACCTTTCAGCTTGGGTTAATTAGCAAAACTTTATCACTTTAAAGTAAATTATCTCCCCACACACACACACACACGCACCAAAAAAAATTCTCACAGTCTAAAAATATTTTCTGTCTTTAAATAACCTACAATGGGTTGATAAGCTGTAGAAAATGAATGAATCCATCAATAGTCTTTATGATAGTAAATTTGGTTTCAAGTAATACCAGTTTGAAAATTTATTTAGCTTTGTTCATTGATATTTTCAAATTTCTTTAAGTATGACAGGAATAGGTAATTGTCATTCCATACAAAATGTCTTTGGTCCTTACAGGATATTTGCCAGTATTAACATTTTGTGAACTTATCACTGACAAAATATAATTAATAGTTGATGAAAAAAAACTTTTCCTATTGTCTTTTCAGTGAAACAAAATCATTAGTGGAACTCAGCAGGAAGAAAAGACTTTTTATCAGATTCTGTGATATGTAAGTACTTTTTATTTTTTCTGTATCTTTTTTCTATCTTTTTAAAGAAAATGTTTTCAACTAATTATCCACTATAGGTCTCCCAAGCAAGTAATCTTGTCTTCGTTGTATATATTCCATGGGGTGGAGAGGTAATTTAACAAAATGCTAAACAAGTTATTTTGTAAATTTCCGACATAAAATTTTTTTTGTAGTTGAAAAATAAATACAAAACTAGTAAATAATTTAAACGTATAGAATTATTTGGTAAATTAATATGCAAATTTTGAATAAATATTCTTCATATAAGATATCAATAAATGTCTAACTAATCTATGAAAAAATAACAAAAATACCAACCAAAATTTCAATACATCCATACAAAAGATATTTTACTAATACTACCAGGAGATTAATATAAAAAATTTATTAAATCCAAATTAATCTTACAAATAGATAAGCCATATATGGTGCAATATAGTATAAGTAAAATATAAGAAAAAGCATAATCAAAGTTTAACTAAATTGTATGGTAAAAGGTAAACTATGTTTACAATTTACCATTAATTCACTTTGATTTAGTAAGGAATTTTTGTTAAATCAGATAATTTCCAATTTTTCATGTAAGCACAGAAAGCAGGGTTCATATAGAGATCTACATGTCCTTGCCATTTTTTAAATTTTCCATTTCACCTTATGGGTCTTTTAAACTCCAAAAATATTTAGAAAGTCATATTATTTCTGTAAGTACTATTGGTGAAGGACATGATGGTGATACCACCTTGTCTTGAAAGAATTCTCAATACTACTAATATAAAATAAAAACCACTATCATCATATTTTCTAAACTTGACTTCATTTTTTTTAACCACTATTCTTTAAAACTTTTATTTTACACACTTCTATATTTATCAAACACATTTTGTTTGATGAAAATTACTAATCCTAGGTTCTACAGATGATGTTGGATTACAGATGGAGGTGGGTTGAAATCTCTAAAATTTAATATAAATTAAAAAAAATTAAATTTTTTCTTATATGGTTGAAATATATTATTAACAAAATTTTTTTTTTTATATCAAGAAAATACACATTGAAACATGACTTCAATTGTGTAGTGATTTTATTTTATTTTACATGTTTTTGGTGTAATATCCTGAAATAGATAAAATATATAATACATAAAAAGTTAATGATCAGAATTGAATCAGACCAGAAAACAGGACCGTATTCTAAAAGTGCTCCAATAAATTCATGTTGGAAAAAAAAAAAAAAAAAAAAACTGATATTACCATAAGGTTGAAACCAAGGAAGTGGATTCAACTGATCTCTTAATTTTCAAAATTTTTAAGGTTATTATTATATATATATTGACACTATATGTTGAGGGCAATAGACTGTCATCAAATATATCAATTATCATTATTATGACAAGAGGAAAACCTTTTATGCCAATGTGTTTCATTCTTTGAGGAATTTATTGAGGCAATTATAGAATATTATTGAGGAGCCTGTACTTATACACATGCAGATAAGTAACATTATGCATTCAAATTTGAATAAAAGAACACTCCAAAATATTTGAAAATCTCTTTGCATTAATGAAAACCTGTGGAGAATGCCAAGTGATGTAAACATTTTTTCTTTTTTTTTTTTTTTTACATGTTAAACGAAACTGAATTAATATTGTTATTATTATTGATGTTAATATATAGGCATATACAAGATAAACTACAGCAATTATTCCTTACAGTATATTAAAACTCACAGAAATTTTAAAAAATGTGTTTATGAAAATAAGAAAAATCTCTTGCATAATAATTTATCCAATACATTAGTTATACACAGAATAATTTCAACCACAATTTAGATCTCAAAAATACTTTCCCTTATTAAGAGAGAAAGTAACTAAAGACAAAAATTTCTTGAAAGTGCAATAATTGATACTTGCCAGAACATAAACATATACACTAGACCTAATTTTTTTATACAAAGAAAAATAAAGATTTGGTAACAGATTGAAATGAACTTTTACTTTTGAAATGTAAAACAAAAAAAAAAAAAAAAAAAAAAAACCTATAAACATGGATCTTCATGCCCACAAAAAAACAAAATGGCTAAAGGACAGTTTTTTCCCATTTTTTTTTTTTTTTAACTACCTTCACTCTTTGGCAATGTTTGTTTTAAAAAGTGATGATTTAGAATTTTAATAAATCCTAAACCTGTGAAAGTGAATTTATACATTTTCTTTTTTTCTTGAGAATTAACAACAAAAATAAGAAACACTATTTATTTATTAGATTGTTTATTGGAATGATTCGCAAAACCTTGGCTAATTGCCAAATGTTTCTAACTTTATAAAATGGGAAATAAGGATTTCCTTATAGTTGATTCACATATTTTAATTTAGTAAATGTTTATAAATTTATGAATAAAAAATTGTTTTCATATTTCTTTATAAATTGGTAAATGATAAATATTGCATTGTATTAGTCTTAATAGAATTGTATTAGTTTTTAGAATGTAGTAAATATAAAAATTATTCTTGTTAATAAACAATTTAATTAATAAATGGTGTTTAATATTTTTGTTTTAAATTCTCAAGAACAAAATATGTATAAATTCACCTTCAGTATCTGTCGATATTTCTTAGATGATTTTTATGTAAAATATTTATCATTATTTTTAAACTATTGTTCTCATCTTTGTTGCCATATTTTTAAAATTTTTTCAATTTTTCATATATATGGCATGGTAAATAAATTTTTCAAGAGTTAGATCCAGTGACAGGACATTCACCCAAAATGAGTTCAATTTTGGTTAAATGGAGAACTTGGAATATTTTCTATTAACATAAAATAACTGACATCCATTGAACATGGCATGTGGAACTAAAACAGTCTACCCCAATGAGCAAAATTAAGGGTTCAGTTTGACATTCCAACCAACCTGAAGAAGGCATCAGCATATTTTTTGTTTTAAAATCTGTAATATATATAATGAAAGATGATGACAATAGTCTGAATAATGTAAATAGTGTACATTAAACCTCATTTCATATGTTTAAATTTTATTACAATTCCAATCAAAATTTTAAAACAAACATTGCCCTAGAGGATGAAAGTGAAAATGATAATAATAAAAAAAAAAACCATTTTGATTAAAATTTTTTTAAAATGTATGAACCATGTTTGCCAAAATACCATTTAGCCTGTATTTAAACTAGAACCAAATAGCTATTAGTTGCTCCATTAAATACATCAGTATTTTTTTATGTGCTGTGCCCCTCTAGGATGTAGGTGATCATAGCTCTCCACAACTTCTGTTGTTCTTTGTAGCTCTTAGAAATTTTTTGAATTTTTACTATTCTTTTTTTTATATGAAACTCCCAGATCTGACATTCATTTTTTTAAACAAGCCTGTTAATATGGTTAATTGCTAAAAATAAAACTTTTCTTTCAGCCTTCAGTATGTCTTGTCAGTATCAAATTCTCCAAGCCCTCTTTCCTCAGTATGTGTCCTAGAAATTTCAACTCTTTCTAAATACAAGTGTCCTGTTTGTTTTCATTTACCTTAAAACTTCCTTGTTGCTTACATGTTCAGTCTATGGTATTCTCTGCATGCTTCTGTAGAACCAAATCCCTGTTACCTTAAGCCTCATCTTTGTCTGTGGAGAAAATTGTCCGGCTTAAAATATAATCATAGGTTTAGTATTATTTCTTCTGAAATGTGTGTTTTATGATGGAAAATGGGACATTTAATATTAGTGTGCATGAATTTCTTTAACAGCTATTTTGTAGAACCAATTTCCAAGAGGATGCTTTCTCAACAACTACAATCTTAACCTGTTCAAATCTATGGTTAACTGTTATCTTTTCTCAAATATCCTCATGAACTGTCTCTCTTAGCTCTTGCACTTACCACTCATACAACGTCCTTCAGTAACCCTCAAACCTGAGTGGCTCTTGGGCTTTGTATATTAGTACAAAAACATTAGTAAAATAAATAAATAAAAAAAAGCAGGTGGAGAATATGAAAGATATTGGATGGTGATGGTAATGATAATATTAGCCATTTTCTTACAAGGAAACATTTGGTATTTATTGACCAAGCAGCCAGTTTTGCTGTCAGTTGAAATTCATAAAATTTTTCTCTTTAAAACAATTTTTCAGGAAAATAGGTTTCTCAAGTCCAGTAATTGTTATCACTCTTTCCAGGATTGATAAGGGTTTCTTTCCTAACCTTTTATTTGAAGTCATGTGGAACATTCACATCTGGATTGTCATTATTTTCTCTTAGTTACATGTGCTATCCATTTTAGCTGTTGCTGCTGTTGAAAGTCCTTAAATGATGTTGTTTCTGTTATTTGGTATAGTTTTTTTCTGATTCTGTAATGCCAGTCCACAATGGTTCAAAGAAGCGTGATCTTCACCAAAATTCACAGGCTTCAGCCACTTGGTCATTTTTGACCATTGACCTTAAAAAGTGATTGTATACAACTGACAATTTACGTATTTCCGAACGAATTTCAAGCCAAGTATGCCATCCATATGAAAATCTCAATATGACAAGGCTATTTCAAAACATGACTCCAGTTTTCAAGTTAACGTTTTGGTTCTGTAGAAATTTGCTGTGTTGGGTGAAACTACTTTCACAATATAGACAGTTTCTATTATGTTGATCTGTGCTTTTCTATTAGAAGGTGTGCTGAATCCTAAAATTGTTGATCAAAACATTGTATAAAAATTATTTAATCAATTTTTTTTTTTTCATTCTTGGTACACATGATGAAATAAAATTCTGACAAAAACACATTTAACAAAATTAAAAAGGAAGTGAAATTGAAAATCTGTTTTTCCTGAATCATATTTCGCAGTAGGTGCTTAAATCTTGAAAACTTTATCTATTTGTAAGTTATTTAAAAAGTCATTAAAATTACGTGATATCAAGCAGCAGTTAAAACCATATGGAACATGAAGAATATTGTATTTGTTTCTGTAAGCATTGTAAATCTTATCAGTGAAATTGGTGAAACTAGGTCACAATAAATGGCTCTTTTAGAAAGATATTCTTCATTCTTTTACGTAGATCTCCAAGCTTTTAATTTTATGCATTTTCAAAAGCCAAAGAAAAAACATCAGTTTTATCACTGAATAACTGAAATTGAGATGAATGACCAAGTTTTTTTTTTTGTTTTGTTTTTTTTTTTTTTTTTTTTTTAAATAATCAGCACATGATTTTGAACAAGAGAAATGCAAAAATTACAAATAAACCCAAATCGTGTCAGTAATTTGGAGACACTCCCTGTACTATCAATGGAAATGAAAACTCCATTTTCCCACTAGCATCTTTGTATTGATAAAAACTGGTTTATGCTTTGGAAATTAGCCAGTTGTTATCTTCTACATGATGAATCTGTAGTTATTTCTATGTGTCTACTCTATAAAAAATTTTTGTTCATTTATTTCTATATGCACCTAATCTATAAAATACTGCTGTATTATGCTGTATATTTTGTTTCGAAAAAAAAAAAAAAAAAATTTCAGTATAAAACCAAATAAAGATCTTCCTGTTTTTTTTTGTTTTGTTTTTTTTTAATTTTCCATTAGTAAAATTGTGGTAGATTCTCTCGAGGAACTTTACTTTATCTTAAAAAATCAAGTAAAATTTTCATGGAACTGGAATTTGAAATATATCACACACACTGGTGCATGTTGAAATTTTTTTCATATATTTAATTTATTTTAAGTATCAAAGCCTCTGCCCAAAACTCTCCATACTGTGTTTATATTTACAGTGATACTACTACTGTGCATTATATTTTACCAGAATTATATATATATATATATATATATATATATATAAAAACTTAAAAAATATTAAAAAAAACAATTTGGTATTTATTTTAATCATTGAATTGCTTTTAAAATAAAAATAGTATTTTGTATGTTAAATAATAAAACCAATGGTACATTGTACCCCCTTATCTGTTTGCACTTTCCCCAAAATTTGGTTACAAGAGGTCAATGTATGGCTATTTTAGTAGGTGTGATGGAAGGGTGTATGGACTAACAGGAGTCACAGAATGTTATATATAGATAGATGAGTTGCTTACTCTTGATGTAACATTTGCAATTTTCAAAAATTTAATTTTCTACATATGTGTGAATAAACAATCTCCCTCCAGATGTTAAATAATATATGACAGTGAAATACCCTGAGGAGACTGATGGCAATCCCAAGAGAAAATTGGTTGACAGTAAAAGGTTCATTAGGATTAGTGTAAAGTTCTAAGAGGAGTACTTTAAGTGTCATTTTTATTGATATATATATATATATATATATATATATATATATATATATATTATTCAAAATATTTTGACTTAATAAGTGCCAGTCTGATCAGGAGAGAAAAGGATTCACTAAGAAAATGTATTGAAAAAATAAATCTCTCAATCAATGATGAACCTATGATAACTCATTAGATTGGTATATCACTAATCATTGCAAAAGCAATAGTGGGATATGTGTGAACTGGTGGATAACATTACAGAGATTTGCTTGGAGTCAGTTAGTTTCAAGTCTAGTAGAGATTGGTGGCTTTAATACAAAAAAAATAAATAAATAAAAACTTTTGTTCTTTCATTCTGAGCAGAAGATGCCAACCTAATAAAGACATTAATGATTTTAATATAAACACACACATTTATCTTTCATTCTGACCTGAAGATGCCTACCTAACAATAGCAGCATATATATTAAATGATTGGCTACTTTCCAGATACAGGACGTGTTGTAATGGATAATGGCTTGGAATGAGAAACTAGAGACCTGAGTTTGAATTCCAGTCGGGTTCATTACATTCACTTGTGTGCAAATACCTTTGGGAAGTGTATGAATCAAGGCAATCCTTGGTATGAATCCATCTCTTCTTCCTCTCAGCTATGGGTTAAATAGCAGAACAGACTGGGCCCTATAGCTATGGTTAGCAACCAGTCTACTGCAGCAAGAAATGATAACCTACTGTGGGAACTCTTCTGGCTAGTAAGTCATGAATCAAGTGACGTGATTGCCCAAGTATGTTTCCCATATGTCACTTGACTTTCCAGATGGGCTTTATAGATTAACGTTTTTTGTTTTTTTATTTTTTTATTTTTCATTTTTTACAGGTTTTTAAAAAATAAAATGGCATTAAAATTACCTCTTTTTTTTCTGTTTTAGACTTCTAATGAGGCCATCCTTGTTCAAACACCTAGAAAAAAGAGGCATTCAGGTGAGTTGATTGCTCAATACTGATTTATCAGTTTAAGAAATTGTTTCTCTCGTATAATCATACTTATAAAACCCAGGTTGTGTGTGTCTGTACATTTATATATTGGATCGGATTTCCTACATTTTTCAACCGATTTCAACAAAACTTCACAGGACTACATAAAATTACCTTGTGGTAAATCCAATCGAGAATTTGTGGTCAATCTGCAAGGAACAACTAACATATGCATTGGGTAATGTTTCATTGGAAAAAAATTTTTTAAAATATGTAAATAATAAAGGAATTATTCATTTTGTTTCAATTAATTTGCACAAGGGCGTATGTAGTTGCTGATATCTTTTTTTTCATTATCACTAATTATTAACATTATTTATAATTATCAACTTAGTTGAGAAATCTTAAGTGAAAATTTTTGTCCTTTTAATGAATTCAATCAACAATTCACAGATGAAGGCAGTTGCTGTAGAGATCTCATGCCATGCCAAAAATTATCTTGATCTCAAATGGTTAAAATCTTGTACAATATTTTTTTTCTCCCCCATTATTCTGGTTGTCAAGTTGATTCCTATTTGATTACCACCCCCTGACAATAATCACAGGCGATGCAGTATTTGAAAGCCTCTTCCTCTTTCCCTTTTGACATTGGCAGTGACGAGACATTCTCTTCTCATTCTGTTAGCATGTAAATACCTCAGAGACATACTGAAGGTTGCTTTGAACTCTTCACAACTTAACCTTTTTGTAACATGTTCATCTAATATAATTAATATTTGTTTGTTTGAATTTCTTATTTTTGTCCAGACTCACATGAGTTCGTTATGTAGGAATAGTGTCACTGCTGCCAACACTTGAGCTTGAACTCAGATCACCAGTGAGCAAACACAGATGATTCCATTTCTAATAATTAGATCACATGATAGCAAAGGTAATATATATGAGAATTAGCATGGCATCTAAACAATCACTAATTCTATCTTCTATTACTTACAGATCACTCTTTCTACACTATCCTCTATCCTGATCACTATTCAGTGGTTACTTTTCAAGCGAGTATTATCGAGCAAGTGCTATTAGTACAATTATTATTCAAAGGTGTCTGACACCAGTATTGTTCAACGGCATTACTATAGTTGTATCTGTGATTACAAAGTCTCTACTACAATGAGCATTAGGAAAGTGACAACTAGTATTCATTGACGTTACAAAAGTGGCAACAAGTGTTCGTTGACATGACAAAAGGCCACCAAATATTATTTGCAGGACAAATGTACCAGGAGACATTAAATATTTACTGTGAAACGTTCACACCTCACAACTAAAGTGATTTCTACAAAAATTCTTACTCATGGCTTTTGCTAATTCTTTAAGGAACTTAACAAGTAATAAAAACCATTTTAAGACATATTTTTGCCTTTAAGTTTTATTTTTAAAACAATTCAGAATAGTTTTATTCTTCTGCTAAAAAGAATTAAGAAAACAACAATTTTAAAATATTATTGATTTAAATAACATCCTCTAAAAAGAAAAAATCCCAAATATAAGTGTGTACATGTATTATATATAATTTAGATATAAAAATGCAGTTTAAATTAACCCAAAATGTAGTTGTTTTGTACTTTAAGTAAAAGAAAATTATTATACATGGTTAAAACAAAAAGTGAGACATGATTTTTATTATGGCAAAAAAGCATTTCATAATTAAATTTTGCTCTTGTCAAAATATCCTCCATTAGCCTTGATTATGGCAGCTAAAATTTTTGGCATTCATTGCAAATGTTTCTCAAAGTATAAGTTTGATAATTGATTTCATTCTTTTTGCAATGAAGAGTTCTTTCTCTCTTTCTTATATATGGTGTATCAAAAATACCTTTACAAACTTTGGGGTGGGTTCTTTACAACAAAACAAGGTAAAATGTCACTATAAACAGATGTCCAAAAGGACATCATTGTACCTCAACATGGCAACTCCTAAGAAAATTTTCAAAATGTCCTCTGCTTGCTTCTAAACATGCACCCGTTGAATCATTGACTGGTGAAACCTTTCAAATATTCCCACAAGATGTCGAATGGTTTCGCAGGCCCCCATGACATGTTCATAAAGCGTCTCTGCATTATTAATGCCTGCTGCATAAACCAATTGTTTTAGGTGGCCTCACAGATAAAAATCCAAATGATTATGGTCAGGGGAACATGCAAGCCATGGAACTAGTCCTCACCTACCTATCCATCTTTCATGGTAGATGTCAACCAGTTCATTGTGAACAATGTGACTAAAATATGCTGGAGCCACATCATGCATGAACTACATGCATCTTTTTATTAGCAGGGAGTACATCCTCTAGCAGGTCTGAAAATGTGTTCAAAATAAAGAACCTGTAGCAAAAGTTGGATGATGTCTATGCCTTCAGTCTGGAAACACAATCTGATACAGCTGTGCATCCCTGCATCCCTGTAGTGGGAAAGAAAAGGGGAGGGAGAGGGGAGCAGAGGAATGTAAAAATGAAGAAAGGGGGAGAGAAAAGGAGGGACAAAAGGAGAGGGAAAGTGCGGAGAGGAGAGACAAAAGCAGAGGGAAATACATTCATACAGCCGTATGTAAAAATCACATCTGCTTGCTCACAGTGTAAATATCCTGCCACTGATAAACAGAACACTTCTCAACCAACTCGCTACTACACACGCTAAACGTTGAAGACAGACTAGCCACAAATGTACATGAATTACACAGAACACACTCCTTTATTTTACTTACTGTTTTGTTTTTATTCAGCATTCCAAATTGACCAGTGGAGTGATGAATACAAGATTTGTGAATAAGATTGTTTAAAGGTTTTATAAATTTTTGTCCTTTTTTTTTTCTTTTTTCAAGATAACTTGATGCTGCATACTTTAGAACAGAGGTGTCAAACATATGGCTTGTGGGCCTGAACTGGCCTGCTGCAGGGTTTCATTCGACCTGCAAGATGACTTTGAAAAGTGTAAAACTTATATTATATATTTACTTACTTTTTTTAAATTAATTCAATGACTAAAAACACGTTTTTTTTTTTTTTTTTTTTTTTTTTTTTAGGTGAACATTTTGCTCTGTTTTATCTTATCCAAAATGTCTTTGTCAAAAAGGAGAAAAGTGGATACAGAGTGTAGATCATTTCAAGAAAAGTAGTCCTTTTCTTATTTATTTGTGTAGGTGAATGGGAAACCTGTTTGCTTGGTGTGTTCACAGCAGGTTTCAGTGCTCAAAGAATATATCATTTGGTGTCACCATGAGATTCATCATGCCGACATATACAATAACTTGCAAGGGCAAATGAAAATAGAGAAGGCAAATAAATTGTTTGTGCATCTGAAGAAAGAACAATCTTCTTTAATCCAAAGTTGAGATATCAGTCAGGCAGTGGTAAAAGCTAAGCTATCTTGTTGCTAGAGAAATTGCATTTTCATCAAAGCCATACTGTGAGGGTAAGTTTGAAAACATGCATACTGAAGGCTGAAAAAATTTTATGCCCTAAAAAGCAAGACTTTTGCTAACATTAGCCTGACAAGAAATACTGTGGCAGATAAGATTTCAGATCTTTCTGCAGATTTGGACAGGCAACTGAAGCACAAAGTCGAGTCATTTATTGCATTTTCAGTGATGGACATTATGGATGTTGTGAAACTGGACATATTCATTCATGGTATAGACGAGACTTTGACCATCAACGAGGTGTTCCTGGAGTTGGTTCCTATGATGGACACAACAACCACAAACAACATTTTCATCTTTCTTATTGGACCGCTGGACAGGGTTGGAGTGGACTAGGCTTGTGCTGTCAGCTTGGCTTCAGATGGTGCTCCATCAATGATTGGGGAAAAAAAGCAGATGGTGTGATGCAGTTCAGAGAAAAGTACAAACTGCAAATGAAGGAATGTGATTTTTGGATATTTCACTGCATTTTGCACCAGGAGGCATTGTGTTACAAGTTGTTAAAAATGGATCACATCTTGGAAGTGGTTGTCTGAACTGTTAATTTCATCTGACCTAGAGATCTGAATCACTATCAGTTTGACAATCTTCTCAGTGATATAGGCATTACCAATGTCTTGCCACATCACACTGGGGTAAAGTGGTTAAGCTGAGATGCTGTGTTGAAGCATTTCTTTAATCTATGAGAAGAAATTGAATAGTTCATGGAGAAAAAAGGCAAACCAGTGTTGGAATTTCAATCACTAGAATGGCTGCAAGATTTAACATTTATTGTGGGTATTACAGAGCACTAAAAAGTTGTCACACAGTATTTTGAATGTATACATGCGTTCAAGTTGAAGCTAAATTTTTGGAACACACAACTGTCAGGTGGTGACCCTGCACATTTTCCTTGTCTAAAAGATGTGGTTGCAACCACAGATAATGTTGACATGAATTGGTCCAAAAGCAATATCACAGGATTGCTGCGAGAGTTTGAGCAATGGTTTCAGGTTTTTGATGAATTTAAAACAGATTTCAGTTTTTCATTTGCTATATACAGTCAATGCCTCTGATCTGCTCGTCAACATCCAACTTGAAATGATTGACTTGCAGTGGGATTCAGATTTGAAGAACAAATTTACCTTGGCAGGTTTGGATACATTTTATCAGTATCTCTTGCCAAAGTACTCCAAGTTGACAGCCCTTACTGCAAATGTTTTGTGCATGTTCAGGACTGCTACCTTTGTGAAGAAGTTTTCTCTGTAATGAGCATCAATAAAACAAAGCTGCACTCAAGGCTGACACTTAAGCACCTAAAAAAAGAAATTGGTTGCTTACTCATGATTTGACGCCTGATATTGATGTACTTATAAAGGAAAAAAAGTGCCAAGTTTCAGGAACATATTGAAAATAAATGATAAAAAGTAATTTGTTTTTAAATGTTTTTCTTTTTAATTTATAAATTGTATACATTTACAAGCCAGTGTGATAATTTTGTCTTAAACAGTTCCCACTTTCACTTGTTTAATGTTTTGCAAAAAAAAAAAAATGTTCTTTAAATACATTTTCAGTATGTACTTTTTGACACTAAAACAAAAGGAAAATTTTAAAATTGCTATTTATATGTTTTCATGCCCTGATTTTACTTGTCTGGCCTGCATGAGATCAAATTGGGTTGATATGTGGCTGTGAACTAAATTGAGTTTAACATCCCTGCTTTAGGGGAAGGTTGGAGATCATTTAAACAAAATGTTATAAAACAAAACTATAAATAGCTTATGGTTAAATTAATATTTTCTCTTCAAACTTTGAATAATTATCTCTTTCCTTCCTCTCCTTTTCTTTCTCCCTCCCTGTCCCTCTGCTTTTGTCTCTCCTCTCCGCACTTTCCCTCTGCTTTTGTCTCTCCTCTCCCATTTCCCTCTTTTTGTCTCTCCTCTCCAGTTTTTCCCTTGCTTTTGTCTCTCTCTCCCACTTTCCCTCTGCTTTTGTCTCCTCTCCATTTGACTTTCCTCTGCTTTGTCTCTCCTCTCCGCACTTTCCCTCTGCTTTTGTCTCTCCTCTCCGCACTTTCCCTCTGCTTTTGTCTCTCCTCTCCGCACTTTCCCTCTGCTTTTGTCTCTCCTCTCCGCACTTTCCCTCTGCTTTGTCTCTCCTCCTCTCTTTCCCTCTGCTGCTTTGTCTCTCCTCTCCTTTTTTTCCCTCTGCTTTTTGTCTCCTCTCTCTTTTTTCTCTGCTTTTGTCTCTCCTCTCTAAAAATTCACTCTGCTTTTGTCTCTCCTCTCCATTCTTTTCCTCTGCTTTTGTCTCTCCTCTCCCGTTGTTTTCCCTCTGCTTTTGTCTCTCCTCTCCAGATTATTTTCCCTTCTGCTTTTTTCCCTCTCATATTTTCTCTCTGCTTTTATTTTCCTCTCTCTGCATAATTTCCCTCTGCTTTTGTCTCTCCTCTCCGCACTTTCCCTCTGCTTTTGTCTCTCCTCTCCGCACTTTCCCTCTGCTTTTGTCTCTCTCCTCTGTTATTTTTATTTCCCTATCTGCTTTCCTCTCCTTTTTTCCCTCTGCTTTATCTCTCCTCTCCGTTTGTTTCCCCATCTCTCCTCTCTTTTTTCCCTCTGCTTTTGTCTCTCAACTCTCCGTCAGTTTCCCTCTGCTTTTGTCTCCTCTCCGATTATTTCCCTCTGCTTTTGTCTCTCCTCTCCAAACTTTCCCTCTGCTTTTTGTCTCTCCTCCTCCAAACAGTTTCTGCTTTTGTCTCTCCTCTCCTGAGTTGGTGGATTCCTCTGCTTTTTCTCTCTCTCCGCACTTTCCCTCTGCTGCTTTTGTCTCCTCTCCACTTTTTCCCTCTGCTTTTTGTCTCTCCTCTCCGGACAGGCCCTCTGCTTTTGTCTCTCCTCTCCGCAAAGAATTTGCTTTTGAGGATCAAATTTCCCTCTGCTTTTGTCTCTCCTCTCCGCAAAATTCCCTCTGCTTTTCTCTCCTCTCCTGATGGTTCCTCTGCTTTTGTCTCTCCTCTCCGCACTTTCCCTCTCCTTTTGTCCCTCCTTTTCTCTCCCCCTTTCTTCATTTTTACATTCCTCTGCTCCCCTCTCCCTCCCCTTTTCTTTCCCACTTTCTCTCAAAAATATTTTCTAAATTGTCATTTTTACTATTTCATTTATTTTAACAGGTTTACTTGTGGGTGCTGAATGACGAGGAAGAATTTGCTCGAGGTTTCAGCCTTGGAGCAACAGGAATTATGACAGATTATCCAACAAAGTTGTTAGAGTTCCTTCAGAAAAATCCACAGTATCGTAATCGTTAATTTTATTTAACTGATATGTGTGTGTGTGTGCTTATATATGGAAGTATTTGAACACTAATATTCCATGGTTATAATTTATTACATTGGAATTATATCACAATCAATTCATCGAACCTAAATTCAAAAGAAATCGAAAAATACAACTCCCCATAAAAACAAACCCGGAGTTATATTTTCCAATTTCTTTTTGAATTTGTAGGTCTAATAAATTGAATCGTGATTATGATTCAAATGTAATAAATTATAACCATGGAATATTAGTGTTTGAGCCTTTTATATTATATTCTTACTCTGTCCTGGACATTGAGTTCTACCTGGATTCTATCCTCTTGGATATATATATATATATATATATATATATATGAGAGAGAGAGATAGGTTGAGGAAAAATCCAACATTCGCAGCCTGATGATTGCGTCTAGCATGAAACAGCCTGTCACCTGAGTGTTGACTTCAATGTTCACTTTTATATTTAAAATAAATATATAAATATATATGCACACACACCTCTGAATGAATGATTGCCTACCTACCTGCCTTTCTCTCCTCCCAATTCAAGAATGAGTCAAATGTGCATTTCTTCTTTCCATCTTCAAATAAATTTTGTTGGCCTTTTTTTTTTTTTTTCCAGATCACTAATAATTCACTGGAAATAAAATATCTCCATTTTTTTTTTTTTTTTTTTTTTCATTAGAAAACTCATAACCTAATAATTTAGGAAAGCAATAAACCTGAATTTAAGAATTCATTGAAACTTGAAGGAAATCAATAAATATGCAAATTTAATTCTGATATGACACTAAGTTACATTTGTGATCTAAGAACCAAATATGAAGATGGTTTTATGTAAGATATGATTACTTTCTTTGCATTCTTTTATAATACATTGAAACTTGGATGACCTTGACATACAACCAAGTACAGTGAATATATATTATAAATCTTAAAATAAATTTCTAATTAAATTTTATAAAAGTTAATAGGTGGGGGTTCAGTTCACTATACATTTTCATTGTAAACTGATTCCCCCCCACCACCACCACCACCACCAAGGAATTTGAAACAAAATAGGACCACTGCTCCCAACTTTTATAAAATTTAATTAAAACAAATAAAAAAAAAAAAAATATATATTCCTGGTCTAGAGTACTTAATCTATAATATGAAAAATAAATTTTGAAAGGATGATTATTTCTGGCCACAATGCCAACTGTACTACAGTATCATCATGACATTTCAGATTGAATGCACTCTATTAATTAATCCATGTTAAGTTGAAATAAAGAAATGTCTCCTGACAAGATTTTAACTTGCATCCACTATCCCCAAAATTTGTTTTTAATGGACAGTGTTTTAACTAATTTAGTCATGGAAACCTATATTTAGAAAGAGCCCAAGTTTAGTCATATTGCTATGTATCTCTCTCCTCAAATCTTCACTATTTGTTTTACTATTATTAGTAACAGTAACAGTCTGAAGTTATCTGATTTTTTTTTTTTTTTTTTTTTTTGTTAGACAAAGGACATTCAAATAACTTGTCGTGTTGTTATTTACTAGGTGGCAAACGAGTAATATCACTTGATTTGGAGAGTAGTGAGTGGCAAAATTAAGTCATTGTCTAGCCATAGATTTTCATGGTCAAATTATTTAAAACCTCTTCATTGAAAGACAAGTTTCTTGATATATGGGATGTGAGTTCTTGTATGGATTTTTTTTTTTTTTTTAATTCTGTCTTTAACTGTTAGAATGTATTTGACTGGTGATAAAAAGCCACAATAAAATGAAAAATCACAGACAAAAATTAATAAGTCTATACATTACAAACTTTTCTGACAATTTAGTAGCCTGAAAAATTCTCATTCTGAGATTAAAAAATATATACAAATGGTACTTTGAGCAATTTACTTTTATATGCAAGTAGTTAAAATTTTACTACCAAAGAATAGAAGTTTATATTTAATGTAACTAAATTTCATATATCCAAATTGATCTGTCCCGGAAAGGGTTATATTTGTTCGAAGTAGCAAAGCAGTTTTGGACTACTGTAACCAGGTAGGACAATCTAGCAGGTAACTGTAATGGACTGGTCCTCATCGTAGTGGTAGGCAATAGGTGTAGACCATGTACCTGAACCTCAATCTGTATTTATGGCTGACACCGGCTAATCATTACTGTGAGGGGGAACCCAGGTGTATGCATATTCATTACATCACAAATTAATCTCTACAGAAACCTAAAATTTAGCTGCCTTTTCATAAGATACTTTTTTGTGTGATTATCAGTTCATATGTTAATTAGGATTTATATTGATGTGCCAACTGAAGTTTTTAGATTTACTTGTACAAATAATAATTCCTGTGTGTGTGTGTGTATATATATATATATATATATATATATATACGCACACAAAGCATTTGACAAACATGCCCGCAATGTGACATAGTGTCAACCTTCACTCTTCAGCAATGTTTATTATTTTAAAAAGCAAAGATTAGAATTGTAATAAAACCTAAACATATGAAAGTGAATTTATACATTTTCTTTTTTCTTGAAAATTGACAATAAAAATAAACTATTTATTTATTAGATTGTTTATTTACACCATTTATTATACTGTTCATTGAAATGGTTGGCAAAACATCAGTTAATTGCCAATTGATTCTAACTTTATAAAATGGTAAATGAGTTCCTTAAAGCTGGTTCATATATTTTTATAATTTAGTAAATGTTTATAAATTTATGAATAAAAAATTGTTTTCACATTTTCTTTATAAATTGGTAAATGATAAATATTACATTAGTTATAATTGTATTAGTTTTTAGAATGTTGTAAATATAAAATCATTCTTGTAAATAAACAATCTGATAAATAAATAGCATGTAATGATCTGCAGGGGGTCTTTGTTGTGCCCATAAAAATTAATTATAGTGTCAAAAATAATTATAATAATTATTATTAATTCACTGATTCTAAACTAATGAGAATTGACCCCGCCCCCGACTTTTCTTCTCTACACACACAAACACAACATTCTTATTATCAGACAAGCAGTTCACATGGATAGGTCATTAACATGTGCATCAACAAAAATTTCCTCTGCTTTTCCTTTTTCAGGTGCCATAATATTAACATTTACCTTTTTAGCACTCCTCAAAAATTTGAGGTAAGAAAACCCCAGACACCACTTCTAAATTTCCAACTAAATTATTTGGACCCTCATGAAAGACTGTATACACTTATTCTTTAACTCCTCATTCTGTCAGATTCCAATCCATATCTGATCTACATTTGACCCCCAAACTCACAATTTTACTCAGTATTAGTGTCTCTTGTTTCTCCAACACCACACAACAACTAAATAATACTCATTTTGTTGTTTACGTGTCTTGCAGTTTCTCATTTTTATGAGTATTTTTGTATATATAACTTTTAGTATCTGTCTATATTTCTATAATAGTATGTAACTTTGAGTGGGCTTATAATCACTTACTCAGTTATAACTCTGCTACAAGTGTTTAATATTTTTGTTGTAAAATCTAATCATTGCTTTTAAAACAATAAACATTGCCAATGAGTGAAGGTAGTTAAAAAAGCAGTGTCATGGGGAAAATTTTTTTTTTTTTTTTATATGCTAGATTTTTATTACGGGCACATTTTTCTTTGTATCTTTCTATGTTTTAACACGTTTTGACTGATTCATTCTACAGCCTTTTTCAAAAGAAAACACATTTTTCTTAGCATTTAAAAAATGCCTTAAAAGTGTGGGGTTTTTTTTTTTGGGGGGGGATGGGTTGTTTTTTTTTACTTCTCAACCAATATTTCTAGTAAAGTGAATTTTCATAAATTTACAGTTTTTCTCACAAATACATCATATTTAGCATAGACTGATAGATATATATATATATATATATATATATATATATATATATATATATATATATATTCACACACACAAAAATATAACAACTCTTATGGGACAGGTTATAATTTGTTTTGTTTTTTTGTTTTGTTTTTTAAATTAATGCTGTTGAAAGTTTACAAAGATGACACTTAAAACATGCAGTAAAATAAAGAAATTCTACTTAATTTTCCTGTTAAGATGGATGCATGGTTGAGGGTGT